CTGTCCTGAATATATATTTTCCTTTAGTAATAGACCCTGTGTTATGGGCACATTGCTATCCCCCATTTTCCAGCTTCTCTTGCAGCTAGACATGGTCAGGTGTTAAGTTCTGGCCAATAGAATGCCAGTGTTTAAGTGTTTAAAGCTATCCTCAGGCAGTGTCCTTAAATGATGATGCTGCCAAATTTGATTTTTTTATCTTTTTTTTTTGAGATGAGTCTCATAATGTTGCCCAGCTGAACTTGAACTCTTGGGCTCAAGTGATCCTCCCAACCCCTGCCTCCAGAGTAGCTGGGACCACAGGTATGTGCCACCGCACCTGGCAATCTTTTATCCTTCTTGCTGCCTGAAATCTGACCCAATGGCTGGAACTTGAGTATTGGGCCAGGGGATGGCTTGCAAAGCAGATAGGAGCACTGGCCCTAGATGTTATGGTAGAACCACTACCAGCCCTGGATTGTTTACCCTTGAACTCTGCTCATGAAAAAGGAAAACTCATTTAAGCCAATTTTTTTTCTTGTAACATACAACCAAACCTAATCCTGACACATACAGCACGCAAAAATGATTTGGAAGAGTGAAAATAAATACATGGCAGCATCCCACAGAGGTTTTTGGCCTAATATTTGCCTGAGCTGGAATGACAGGTGATCCAGAGATAAAGGAGTAAGTTTATTCATTCTTTAAAATCAAGCAAAGAACAGGCAGAAAGAGGGACATACATAAGTAGCGTGTGTTTGTGCTTGCTCCCATGCACTGGTGTTGATAGAATACACTTTCCAACATTTAAGTGGCCCCTCCACAGACTAGTAAACATTACTTATAGAACAGTTCTTAGCTGGGCATGGTGGTGCATTCCTGTAATCCCAACTGTAGCCCCAGGCAGAAGGATTATTTGAGCCCATGAGTTGGAGGTTAGCCTGGGCCACACAAGGGGGTAAAAAGAACAGTTCTTGGAAATGAATGAGTAGCAAAAAGCTCCTGATAACCTTTATAAAACCATACGTTTCTGAGCTTCTACCTGCTCCCACTGAGATTTTTGATTTATCTGAGTGGGGCACAGGTTCAGCAGATGACAAACAGAGCAGCTGTTGTTAGCCCTGGATGCACACAGGAGTCATCTGGGGAGCTTTCAAAAATGATGCCTGTGCCTCACACCCTCACCCCTGGAGATTCTTATTCAAATGGCCTGAGGTAATTCTAATGTAACTATGGAGAAACATTTTCCCTACTTAAGGTGGCGAGTAATTAATGCTGTACTTTACAGAAGATCATCAACCAATGAATGTAAAATAAGAAATAAAAATAGTGATGTACGATTTGGGCAAATGTTAGCAATAGATATTAAGCCCACTGGGTGAAGAACTGTTGGGGAAAAGATACACATTCTGAAAGTACTACTGATTTCTTATTAATCACAAATGGGAAAGGCATCTTTACAATGGAGCCGTCTGACAAACATTACCTTAACGGTAGGATCAAACTTAACATGGCCAATGAGATAAGCTGACATCATCTGCTTCCTGCTGCAACACACTGAGAAAGTATTCCTGTCCCCACCCCCGCAAATCGTCTATAATTTTTACAAAAAAACTAAAAAATATACATATACTAAACATCCAATAAAGGATTACATACTTATGTATTTGTACAAGTAAAAGGCAATTTTGAGCACGTATTTTTAACCCACAAAAATAAAGATTTCTTCCATTTTGGAAGATAGATTACAAAATATGTCTTCTTTCCACTCTTAAGTTCTGTGGATAATTCTTGGCATGTTCTTTGAGTTAACAGTAGGTTTAAACCTACAGAAAAATCACAAGAACACACTTGTCTTTAATAATCACATGCAGTAACATTCAACCGTCCAGCCAAATAGATGACAGAATTGCTTTTCTTCATAGCATTTAATGTTTAGAATGATACCTCCTCCAACAATTAGGTAAACACACAGGTGTAAATTTGTGGATTCCATTATATCATGACCACTAGCGTAGAGTAAAATGTCCATTGGAATTCTGCAAAGAACACGATTGCTAAGATTATCCACATTTTAGCCCTTTAAGAACAAACATTTCGGCCGGGCGCAGTGGCTCACGCCTGTAATCCTAGCACTTTGGGAGGATGAGGCGGGTAGATCATTTGAGTTCAGGAGTTCGAGACCAGCCTGAGCAAGAGCGAGACCCCGTCTCTACCAAAAATAGAAAGAAATTAATTGGACAGCTAAAAAAATACATAGAAAAAAATTAGCTGGGCATGGTGGCGCGTGCCTGTAGTCCCAGCTACCCGGGAGGCTGAGGCAGGAGGATCGCTTGAGCCCAGGAGTTTGAGGTTGCTGTGAGCTAGGATGACGCCACGGCACTCACTCTAGACCAGGCAACAGAGTGAGACTCTGTCTCAAAAAAAAAAAAAAAAGAACAAACATTTCCTTTGCCTGTCCTTGAAACCACCATACTGCCAGGTGTTCTCAGCTGTTGCCCTGTTACAGTGTTTCTGTATAGGAGAAGCAAAGATCACTATTCTAGTGAGATTTTGGCTCACTTTTATTAGATAGAGTTAATTCAACATCACTGACCACCTCCTCCCATTCATAAAACAAAATTCCTATTTGTTTAAGTTACTCAGACATTTAAGATTATCAAAGTGCTTCAGAAATACAAGTTCTCAGTATGACTGCACTTCTCTTCAAAACATTCTTAATTTTTCTTACAATACAGGAACCCAATACACAGAACCATAGCATTAAATCAGAAAATTGACTAAATCCAGAGAATATTCACAGTCTTTTATTTTTATATTTAAAAAGAACAGTTACCTAGCAATTCACTTGAGGAATTTTTTCTACTGAAGTATTCATGTTAAAAGACAGATGTCCAAGAACATTCTGTTATGCTACCACTTGTAATATGAGAAGCTTTGTTGACTGGCATGTGTCACTAGCAGGGAGAGAAGCAAAGAGTTAAAAGGACACTTCAGTTTATAAACTGGGAATGTGAGGAAAGTGGTTAAGCAACCTGCCCAAAGAGAAAGTTAGTTTAGGGCAGTGAGCAGAAATGTATGTTAAATGCAAACTTCTCTAGCACAGAGTTACTTTACACTGTCAGTTCGTTATAGCTTTTAATAAGAGTCATTTTACACAGGCCGGGCGCAGTGGCTCATGCCTGTAATCCTAGCACTCCGGGACGCCGAGGCGGGCGGATTGTTTGAGCTCAGCAGTTCGAAACCAGCCTGAGCAAAAGCAAGACCCCGTCTCTACTAAAAATAGAAAGAAATTAGCTGGACAACTAAAAATAACTAAGAAAAAAATTAGCTGGGCATGGTGGCGCGTGCCTGTAGTCCCAGCTACTCGGGAGGCTGAGGCAGGAGGATCGCTTGAGCCCAGGAGTTTGAGGTTGCTGTGAGCTAGGATGACGCCACGGCACTCTAGCCCAGGCAACACAGTGAGACTCTGTCTCAAAAAAAAAAAAAAAAAAAGTCATTTTACACAGAAGTGTCAGGGATGTATCTGTTGTAAACTCAATCCTATGACAAATGCATATAAAAACTAATGGGCATATTAGGTGTCCATATACCTCTCAAATTCCTATTTTAGGATCACTCTTCTCTCCTTTAAAACTTTTCATATTACCGAATGCTGTAGAAATGAGAAATGTTTGACCTGACAGTCTTTAGAGACAACTCACCTAGTTCTGGTTTTTTTTCATTGTGCAGGTGAGAAAACAAACCCAGAGCAAAGAGCCTGCCCTTCAGTGACACAAACTTATGGCAAAGCTGGGCTAGAGCTGGGCTAGACCTGGGCTTCAGGACTTGTTCCACCAGACCCCTTCAGCCCCAAAGTGCAAACCCAGCAGCTACTTCAGATGATGCTTAATGATTCTACTCACATTTCATATTCCGTTGAAATTTTGATGGCTATTCTTTTGTTGTATGGTTTTCGGGCCTAAACATGCTAGAAATGGCAGGTGAATTGCAGGGGAAGACGCAGATGCTGCTGACAGTGAAGGCAGAAACGCACACTCCAAGAGGGCTAATGCTTAGAACACCCATCAGAATGGTGGGCTCACAGACAGGAAAGGAAATTCTCATTTTTAAAGGAATAATCTGAGCAATCTGTGTTCTCTGCAGAATCTCAACATCATTCTACTCTACCTATTTATTCTAGGTAGTGATACAATGGAATTCAACCTATTTCACCTGGGTGTTTCCCTAAATTGGTACAGGACGTACCACTCGAAATATTAAATAAGAGAGCTAGCAAGGAGAGATGTAGAAATAAACTCATGAAGGAAGACCCTAGAATGTTGTTAATTTCACATGATTGTCTACCTCCAATTATCACTGATATGCAACTGAATTATGAACTACTTTCAAAATAATTTATTGCATCAGGTGTCTGCTGTGTTGCAATTATTTTCATACTATCTCTGGTATCCTATTTCTCATCTCAGGGAAAATGCACTTCTTAAAAATCAAATATTTCTTAAATAATCTACCTCTACAAAACAAAAGCTGCTTAATGTGTACACAGACCCTCCCCCAGAATTATAACCAAAACTATCTTAGTTCACTGGTTAAAAGTATAAAACACTCAAAATGGAAAACATGTACAGTCTTTCTGGATCTTTCAAAGCCACTAACTTCCAGGTGACAAACATAAAGGAAGAATTTTAAAAATTGTTTCCTTCAATATTTAAAAATAACTAACTTCCTTCACCCTTTCCCAAAGTCCCAAACTTTCCTCTTGGTGTTTAAGAACACATGTTGACAACTCCGCCGTCCAAAACCTTAAAAATAATCACATCTATTCTACAAAGGGGCAAATAAGAAACTGTTATTGATAAGACCTGGAGAGCGTGTATTGGCTCTACACTGATGACTGGTTGACATTAAGGTTTTTCCCAATTAGCACTGAATGTCACACTGCTCAGGAGCAGTCCCGTCTGACTGTGACTGCAAACGGCTCAACCACAAAGAAAGCCAAGACCAGTTAGTTACCTTACCTCAAACTGAGGGTAGGGAGGAGTCATGGCCGAGGGGGGCCCTGAGGTTGGAGGTGGCATCCCTGAAGTGGGTGGGAACAGACCCAAAGCATTCAGATTTAATCCAGGAATTAGATGTGCTTGAAGCTGCAATGGTAAAAAGGTCCCTTTATTTGACAATTAAAAGAATCAAGAGAACGTGAACATTTATAAGTGACAATATTCAGATTGTGATCTCTTGTCTAAAAGAAAGCGATCGTCTTATGACTCAAACTTAAAGCAGATGTCCCATGTGGCTACACTTGATCATATGGCTTACGTCTGTTTACATCTCTTGGTATTTTAAAATCTGTGTGCTGGTTTGCACCCTCCTTGATCTACAGCTGTATTAAGCTGTCTCACAGACAGCCTTCCTTTCCCTTACGACCAGCTTGCAGAGCTTAGACAAAAATGTACTCTGTATACTGTGGGCCACATGGTAAATACAGACTGAACACCTACCTTGTATTAGTTGTAGAGGTAAACTAATAAGATATGTTCATTGAAAAGCAAACCAAGGTATACACAACCAGCTATTAAAAGATCGTTATTCCTTGGGTAAAATTTGGCACTCATGGGGTTAAGAAGCCTAAAACAAAGTCCAGTCCTTTGGAAATCTGGTCCCATCCCCATGTAACCACTGCAAATAAACATATCTTTAGAACGGATATAGGAGCCAGAAAGGGGATTTTAATTTAGTTTAATTTTATAAGGGTTGAGGAGGTAACGTAGAGAGTAGAATTGAGACTTGAGTGCACCTGAGAATCTTTTTAAAAGGCCTGTGAGGTTGGATTTAATCCCAATTGATTCCAAAACATTTGGACAAGCAGTTAGAATATGAAGGCAGGCAGTCATCTGGGGTGACATGATTAGCATTCTAGGTTCTTTACACAAAGGTAACATTTTCACATTTCCCTCCTCTCAGAGCTGTAGTGTTTTAGATGACTGGTTCAATTTGAGAATTTTATTTTAAATCATTTAGTTCAAAATTTAAGATGGAATTTTGAAATATTCCATTCTCTGCACCATTCCATCCATTAAGGAATGTCAGCAATTTGCTTTAATATTTAATAGCCTTAGATACACCACACAGATTGTTTTGTCATTTGAAATTCTTGTATCTCCCAAGGTTCACTGGAGTTATCAAGTAAATTTTAAACTTGTAATCTTAACATTAACTTTTATATGCATTATATCTATTGTAATCCTAATAAGCATGCAAGGTAAGTAGTAGCCCCATTTGACAGATGAGGAAACTGAGGCTCAGAGAGAATAAGCAAATTGTCTAAGAGAATAGAGCTGCAGCTCATAAATGGTTGAGCAGGGATTCAAACCTAGTTCACGTACCTCTAGAGCCCACACTCCTTCTACACTCAACTCCTCAAATTAACATGGGAAGGGAGCTACTGTATTAACCTTTTGTAGGTAGATATTAGCCTTATCTCACAGAGAAGGAAGCTTAGGCTCAAAGACTAAATAATGCGCTAAAATCACAGAGATAGCCAAGCCTAGTGTCAAATCTACTATATTCCCTACCATCCCAGGGTACTTGCTATGGTACTAAAAATCAACGAGAACTACTTCCAATGACACCACCACTAAAGAAATCAATATTAATGCGATAAACACCTTTTAACTATTCATCAAAATAAAGACATATCTGTCCTATTAAAACTAACATTCATAGAAGCAATATCATTTTCATAAGACTCCCTGATTTTCTTCATTATCTCTTCCTCAGCTTTGGCGCACGTTTCAACATTGCCTTTCACTGTGATGGTGCGTTCCGGATTATACAGCGTCAATTCCTGCAATCTGCAGAATGAAAAAGAATGAGGAAAAAGAATGAAAATTAGAGGAGGAAGACAGTTAATAACAATTCAGCCACACACGGCAATTAAAAACAAATTTTGAAGCCTGGCAGTATGCAAAAGTGGGTGGTCAAACATGATGGGAAATGAGGCCCAAAAGACACAAATCCAAGAATTGTTGAGCTGCAGGAGAGAAGAAATACCTCCCCCCTCTCACCTAGTTGGTAAAAACTGCTAATTGTATATAGTTCGATTAAAGCCATGTTTTAAACATAGCTTACTTCTTGACCACTTAAAGTTGAACCACTTTCACAATTTAACAGTGAATTGAAAAGCAACCGTTGGAAGGTTTTAGTGGAAACCAAGAACCAGAAGTACATAACCTTTAATAAGTATATTCTTAGTCTGTCCTGACCAATTCTAGGCATAACTGGCATTCTCAGGCAATTGCATTTTCTGCGTCACCAAACAGGAGGAAAGGCGTGGAAATGTTCCAAAATCACAATACAGAATTCATGTGTCTAAACTTAATTTTTACCAGCATCTTTACAATTTAGATTAATGCAGGCTGGATTTAGTCACTCCATCTTGACTAAATTTAAAAAATGGTCCGTTAATGACCATTTAGACAACAAAAGAGTTAGGTGGCAGCGGCAATATTTAGGAACTCCTTGTTTGATTCATGTCTGGTGAGGCTTCAAAATCTACCACAGATTATATCTGAGAACATGTGAACCTAAGCTGGTCAACAGCCTTGAGAGGAAAAGCAACGGGAGATTATTTGCCATGGAAAAGTATGTATGTGGAAAGGATACGGAATAGTGGTGCAGCTCTCCCTCATATTCCTGGAGTTAAATTCTACTTTCACTACCAGTAAAATGCTGTAGGCTAACCTTGAGCCAGATGAATGGAATATTATTCCTTAACTTTTCCTAAAAACTTGCTAAAAATGAAAACATTTATATAATGAAGACTTAAGAGTACTTAAAGGAGTATATAATTCTAATCTCCAGTCTCCACCCAGGCTTGCCAAGCATTTTGTATTACCATTTTTAGAACAGCTGCTTCTAGAATAGCTTTTAAGAGTTTTTCTTTTAAAACTCTCCCCTTTCTGAGCATAAGATTCAAGAAAAGGTAGTATCGTAAGTATCACCTAGGATATTTACCACTTTGTAGTTTTCTTTCTTTACGACCAAACAGGAATTTCATACTTCTGCACCACCTTCTTTGAAAACTCCTCGCTATACAAACACTCTGCCTCAGTCTTTCCCTACCAGTCTTACGAAGTTCACCAGTCTCTTCCCACCTTTTTGGGTACTGTGATAGAAACCAAGGACAGTCAGCCCCAGAAAAAGAAACACCTTTCCATATATCTGCAGAGCACCATGGACTCTAGAAGGGATAGCCTGCCTCCAAGATGACACCCACACCCAGAGAATAGGGCTGACTTGTGTAAACAATATTAGAAAAAATAATAGAGTGTAACTTGTGAGGCTATGTCATAAAAGACACTGCAGCTTCCACAGTGCTCTTTCCTGGATCCTTCACTCTGACAGAAGGCAGCCGCCATATGCTGAGGACACTCGAGCAGCTCAGTGGAGAGGTTCATGTGCTGAGGCCTCCTGCCTATAGCCAGCAGTGACCTGTCAGCAGCACTATGAGACCCTGTGCACCAGAACCACCCAGCTAAGCTGACTCACAGAAACTCGCGAGCAATCCTATCATCTCAGGATGTCAAATGTTGGTATAATTTGTTACACAGCAATGGATCATAAACTGGGTTATATATTCCAGCTTTGGGAATAAATGTCAGAAAATATGGTCAAAATTTCAGCTAGAAAATATAAATGCAAAGCATTTAGTTCTTCCTATTTAGTGAGAGTATATAATGTTCTAAGTGTGGATAGGAAACAAAGGAGGCAGCAGGCTGAGTCTCAGAAACAGAGTACAAGTATGACAGTATAGATTAGCTGAAACAGCTGAAAAGTGGGAGATGCTAAGCTTAACACAAAACATACAGCTTAAAAAGTGTTTGAGCCTGGGTACAGTGGCTCGCACCTATAATCCCAGCACTTGGGAAGGCTGAGGCAGGAGGATTACTTAAGGGCAGCAGTTCGAGACCAGCCTGGGCAACATAGTAAGACCCCAGCTCTACAAAAAACTAAAAAAAATTAGTCAGGCACAGTGGTACACATCTTTAGTCCCAGCTACTAGGGAGGCTAAGGCAGGAGGACGCTTGAGCCCAGGAGTCTGAGGTTACAGTGAGCTATGATGATGCCACTGCACTCTAGCTCTGTCTCTTAAAAAAGAAATAAAAATAAAAAAACAACAATGTTTGAAAATTTTCTAGTCCAAAAGCAAGGCAGCACTTACGGAGATATGGTGATTTTAGTGTCTGTGTCTTGTTCAATTTTTTTAAGGTTTCTTCCTTCTTTACCAATAAGACGCCCTACAAAATTATTATGAGCTAAAATCTTCAAGGGAATCTCTTCTGTGCTGTAAATAGAAAAATGATCATATAATTAGAGTAAGTATACCTACTCTTGGGTAAAAAGACAATATTCATTCATTAAACATTTACATCCTACCTACTATCTGGGAAGCATTGTGTTAGGTACCACTTGAAACTTGCTGACGAAGGGGAGGGGTGGGGGGAAAAATCAAAACAAAATAAAAACTTGCTGACAGGCTGGGCATGGTGGCTCACACCTGTAATCCTAGCACTCTGGGAGGCCATGGTGGGAGGATCCCTTGAGCTCCAGAGCTCGAGACCAGCCTGAGCAAGAGCCAGATCCTGTCTCTAATAAAAACAGAAAAAATTAGCCAGGCAACTAAAAATATGAAAAAAATTAGCTGGGCACGGTGACGTTCACCTGTAGTCCCAGCTACTTGGGAGGCTGAGGCAGGAGCTTTGCTTGAGCCCAGGAGCTGGAGGTTGCAGTGAGCTACGATGATGCCACTGCACTCCAGCCTGGGCAACAGAGGGAGGCTCTGTCTCAAAACAGCAATAACAATGACAACAAAACTTGCTAACAATTGGCCTACATTCTAGTAATGCATGAATAGAATAGGTGAAAAAATATTAGCAAGTATTTGGATAGAAGTTAATTTTTTCAATAGTTTCTCCTTTATTCACTTCAGGGAATATCTATCATGCAATGATGGATTCTCTTATTCAAACCCTTATTCCTAAACCTCTGATACCAGAACACAATGTAAAATTGCAAAACAGTACAATCCTAGTAGGAAATTTTAAAATACGTACCTAGAGATACACACATAATTTATAGAAGGAGACAGACGAAACTCAACAGTGGTTACACTTTGGGGGAAGGGGTAAGACTCAAAAGGGGACTTTCACTTTTCATTACGTACCTTTCTGAATTTCTAAGTCATATGCACATCACTGTTTAAAAATGTCATAGGAGTTTATCAAATAGTGAGTTTTTCCTTTATTTTTCTCTATACTAAAAATAATTACATTCCCATAATATAGCATCCATATATAACACTTTATCACTAAAACATATTTAAGTGTCTCCATAAATGACATATTGGTAATGAGGTCCCCAGGCTAACTCCAGCACCTTACTCTGAATTTCACTTTTAGTGTAGGGCTGTTCTGTGCAGTGAAAGTGGCACAGAACCCAATCTCCCCTCAAAGTTCCCGTGGAACTATTTAGAGTTCAAGCCTGCACCACACAGATAAACCTCCAGTTTACCTTAGTACAGAATTAGGGACGTCCCCACCTCCACACTCCTGATGCTCCAGGTTGGAGCTGGGCAGAGGACAAGAACTCAGAGCTCCAACCGGTTCTGAGTAAAGGATGAGTGAGGATTTGGGGCCTCTGTCCTGGGTGAATCCCAGGACACTTCTTGGTTCTAGGCGGGCTTCCTATGTTCCCCAATTGCCACCTCTACAGCTGAACTTTTCTTCCCCGTTATCCCTACTCACCCAATATCCAAGCATGCACGAAAATAAAAATATTTAAGTATTTAAAAGGCTTATTCTTCACAACTGAATCAGTCGTGCCAACTACTATAGCCCACCAGGATAGCATTTCCCTTTGTTTGTGGGCAATTCCCAAGAACTGTGTCATAGAAATCCACAATAAAACAGCACGAATATCAACCTCATTCACGGGATAATCCTCTTTACTCACAATTTTATATCTTGAGCTTCCTTATGCATAATCTCCAGGATAGACTTACAAGCCGCAGAGGTACCTTCGGGGGTAGACAAGATAGTAATTGATTTCTCAGCAGCCCCTGCATTCTCCTTACGATGGACATCGATCCTGACAGTGGGCGCAAGCAAAGAGGAAAGCAAGAGCTGTGAGCATGTTTCACAACGGTCTGTATCACCCACTGTGACGTCGCAGGTCTTCTGGGCAAAGAGCAGATGACTCACTTCCCTCAAGAGCATAAACTCTTGATAAACTGTCAATACTGATGCCTTAGAGACAAGTTTTAATTCCAGGAATACTCCCCTTGCTCTTTCCTCAGTCCAGCTAAGCAGGAACATCTTTTCATCCTGCCCAAGCTATTTGTACTTACATCTTCTTTTAGATGCCACAGAAAAAAACGTCTCATGTCAAACAGCCTGGATTGAGACAAAAAGATCTCTTCTTGCTCTACAACAAATAGGAACTGGAGCACATGCCAAGAAAGATGGAGTTGGGATCCCACAAGCCAGGTCGAACTCTTTATTCTGCACAGTACATCCACTATTCTATTCATTGTATGAGCAGATTTCACGCATCTGCTTTCCCTTTGCAAAGTTCTTCCTACGTTTTGCTTCCTTGATAGAAGAAAGTCTGCAACAAATAGTAATAGGAGTGGGACCCACAGAAATGGCAATTCTACTACAAAGAAAAGCAACTGGCTGATAAACTCAAAATGATGTTTAATCTCACTGGTACTTATATACATGCCAATTAAAACAAGATGTCATTTTCTTCCAGACCTGCAAACATTTTAAAATAGACAAGATTAAGTATTGGCAAGATATCAGGTAACAGGGCACACCCACACTTTGGGTGGGAGTATAGAGCAAACTGGCAGGACCTATGAAAGGCAAAATGCTTATCACCTTTTGACTCAAGAACTCTACTTCTTGTAACATCTACAGATACTACTTCATATATGGGCCAAGAGTGGTGTTTCTCACTCTAGGCACTGTTAACACTTCAGGCTAGATTCATTCTTTGTTGTGGATGGGCTCTCCTGTGTGTTGTAGGATGTTTAGCAACATCCCTGACCTCTATACCCACTAGATGCCAGTAGCACACCTCCCACCCAGATATAACAGCAAAAATGTCCCTTATATTGCCAATTGCATGCTGGGGAGCGAGGAGGAAGAATTGCTCCTGGCTGAGAACCACTGGTGTAGGAATGTTCACTGGGACACTATTTACAAAAGATGGAAAGAAAATTAGGATTACCTTTAAATGTCCATCAGGAAGAGATGGTTAAATAAGAATATAGCCATATCATATAGCTGTTTTTTAACAATATAAAATTACAGGTACCAACACAGTAAAAAGTCCTGATCTTAAGTGAAAAAATACAATACATACCATGATATGATTTTTTAAAGTTACACATTGGTAAATGCAACAAAAGTCCTATAAAGATACATCCCCAACTTAACAATGGCTACCTCAGAGGGTGAGATAATTTTTAACTTGCATATTTTGAATCAAATACAACACAAGTTTGCTGTTGTTTAGAAAGGACAAGAAAAAAATCAAATACCCAAAAATGTGTGTTTTAGGGAAAATTAAGTACTTGTTGAAAAAAAAGTACGTGTTGAGCCCTTTTGGTCACTCAAACACACAAAGATAAAGAGCTACATAACTTGTGGCCATAAGAACAACCACTTCATCATGTCAATAACATCATGGTTTCGTTTTCATTTTCTTGAATGTTTCGTTCAAATTGAAGATTCACCTCAGACATAAAACTTACAACTAAACATAAGGGCAATGTAGAAATGAAACAAACAAGGGATACCTAGAAATAATTTAAAAATAGCATCTTAGATATTATAACAGTCCCAATCTTGAGGACCATCCTCCCAGCCACAGTTTCTATCCCCGATCACTGTCAGTGATGCTTGTCTTCTGGTAACATGTTAATATTCCTCCCTCCAGTTTATTTCCACCCTTTCACTGTGTTGAAGACTTCTAAAATCTAGTACCCTGAGAAAAGAGAATGTGGCTTTGGAGATTAGGGTGGCCCTCTGAGACCATTCCAGAAACAGAGATTCTGATAACGACTAATTTCAACAGCAAGAGTTAATTAAATCCACCGGCAGAGCTCTGCAAACGAATCATCGGATATAACAAAAATCACTTCCCTTCTTCTCCATCCCCCATCTTCCTGCCTTAAGTAAAACAAACAGTTCAATTTAAGTCACAGCTCTTTCATCTGACAAGGAAACAAGTAACTCGAAAAGTAACTCTAATCTGCCTCGCACGACAAGGAAAGGAAGCCATGTAATAAGTTTCTGCAACTGATGGTGGATCAAGGGAGGCAAGAAGCCCTTAAATTTTAAGATTAAAGCCAGGCAAACTGATCTGGCTCTGGTTCAGTTGTCTTCCTCACCCCCTACACGATGAGGTCAGGGCCATTAAAGTTACACACAGGTAACCAGCACCAAACATCTCCTGATTCAAAGCAGGAGAAGGCAGGATTAGACGCCACTGCAGGGGGAGTGGGCATGCAACCACCACTAAACACAGCTCTTTTTGGCTCTGCATGGAAAATGGGTCGGCTACTTCAATATGGGCATGGTGCTTACGATGAATATGCATATCCTCCTAGGCCTGTTGGAACAAACACATATGAAGGTATATACACAGCACTGCAGTTCTAACGCTGAGAGACAGACTATGCTTAATTCCTTAGATCACATAAAATGAAATCATTCTCCTTTCTAAATTTAAAAGGCAAAACAACTCAGTCATTTCTGTAGCAGGCCCAAGGGTTGTGGAATGACATTGTTTGTACACAACCACTTCTCCATGGTACACTCACAGGTTCTCAGGAGACATGGCCGTAGCAGGCCCATAGATGTGCCTTGCTCCAATCTACAGGGCTAGGGATGGGGTGAGAGCTCATCACCAAACTCCTTTGGGTCAAGATATCCACATATTGCACAACAGTATGGTTTAGAAAGCAAAACAACTAACATAGACTGCACCGGAGCTTCTGCACTGAGAAAGTATCTTAGATACACATAAAAGGCTTCAAACGTAATTCACACATCATCCTTTCAGTCATTTGACAAATACAAGAGGCTTCTCTGTATCAGGCAAAGGACTTAGCACTGGGGCTCTGTTTGGTAGACAGTGGTAAATAAAACCAAACAGCCCCTGCTTTCTACTCCTGGAAATTTAGCTCCATCATTTGGACAGGAATCTTCCAACCCCTTAAAACCTTCCAATTAAAACTATCAAACAATAGTCTAAAGAAAAGGCCATTCTAACTACATGGCTTAATCACCATAAGATGGGCGATTCTTTACTCACATAAAAACTGAAAAACCATCTCTGTGTTGAGGCCACAGATGAAATGGCTTGGACCCAGAAAATCACTTCTACAAGCAGGCAAGGCAGGTAGGGGGTGGAGGGTGGGGCAGAGAAGCTGCCCTTTTGTCTGCCAGGGCCTCCCTAACCAGAAGCAGATTAGGTATCATTTGTTTTCCATTCATGTGTGAAAATTTCAGGTTCCCTTTGAGATTAAGGTTTAGCCCCTGATTTATACAAAAATGAACACTGAGTTATCAAATCACCAGGTTTTTGCACATTCCCAAGTACTGTACAAGGAGGGTGCATAACCATGTTCAAAAGGGCACCAAGTACCAGAACAACATACTCTGACCCTGAGATTCCAAGGAGGACACTGATGCCCACCACACCCAGCAATACTCACTTGGACTGGGTCTGTTTGGTGATGTTCCGAATGGTGGCACCTTCTTTTCCTATGATGGCTCCAACGAACTGGGTGGGGACCAGGAGGCGCAGAGGCAAGTCACATGGTTTCTGCTTGGACACTGACCCTGGAGACCCCTGCCTTGACGAGCCTCTCTGCCCAAGCCCACGGCGACCTCGAGGCTGCTGCAAGGGGTTCTGCTGGGCAGCCGTTTCATCGGGGATATAGGCTACTTTCAAGGTGAAGTTCTCTAACTGGAATCCATTCAGTTTGTCTAAAGCTCTGAAAGTTGACAGGGGACAGGGGATAGGAAGAGAAATGGAGTGATATAACAAACCTTTTAGCAAAGCAACACCCATCTCTTTCATTCAGGATTATTGGCTCTAAAACTTCTGAAGAAAGCCACTGCACAAGTCGCAAACCCAGAACACACAGAATCCTCCCTCAGTCCCCACATCACCACCAGCTCCCACATTTTTCCTTTGATGTACACAATCTGCACATTGTCCAACTCTTGATTAAGTGTAGCCCATGAGGTTAGTGTTAGTAGCAGCTAGGAATACCCAACCAGCAAGAGACAAGAGAACGGGCAGTTCTCGTCCTGGCTAGTGCTTCCACATCAGAATGGAAGACGCATTAGAAAGACGTACCTCTCTATATACTGCACCCTCTAAAATGATACAGGTGTTTAAAACATTTCAACAATCGATGGACAAATATCTCTAAGCCATTCACAAGAGACTGGTAGAATTTAATACTCAGGATGGTCAATCACTCAAAATCTCAGTACCTATTATGAGCCAGTCCCCGAGAAACAGAGGTCCCTGAAATTGTAGATTTTACGATCATATTTGGGGCAATGAGGCAGGGGTGAATCCAAAAAAGAAAACGAAGTTACTTTTTAATCTAACCATCCATCAATCACACAATTGTGGTCATGACAGACATTGCTCTGTGGTTTGCTCTTTTTCCAAATACAAAAGGTCTTGGGATATTTTGATGTGATTTCTGTGTCAGAGGGCATTCTTTCCATAAGCCTCACAGGATGACAACAAGCACATGCCACATTTACTATACAATGCGCCGACGACAGAACCTTAAGTTAACATATTGCTCTTTACTTTCCTCTTGTCCCCCCCTTTTTCTTAAGGGAATGTGGATTAAGGGCCCTGAAATATTTTGATTATTTCTAAAGGAATACAACAGTTGAGAAATTTACTATTTGCATATTATAGAAAGTTGGAGTCGCAGATGTTTCAACCAACTAGAGATTCCTTCAAAGCAACTTTAAACCTTTTTTAAGTCAGGGGTGTATAGATCATTGAAAGTTCTATCGGGGAAAAAAAATTAAGGAAACCTGAACCCGACAAAGAAATCAACTCTAACTAGGAATAAAAGGCAGTATAGTGAACTATCATATCCTTTCCCATTATAAACAGCATTGCCAGCTTCGGAAGAGAATTAGTAAATTTTGATGATGAAATTAAGCCAGTAATGTTGCAAAAAACTACATAACTTCTTTCTTGAATGCGACAAACATCCTCCTCCATGAGTATAAACAGAGGTAAGCACATAAGTTACCAGATGCTTCTAAATATTCTGGACTATCTAAAGTCACATGTCACAACATGGCACAAACTATAACTTCTAAATTTCATTGTGCTGCTTTAAAAAGATTTTTCTTTAAGGGGAAAAGAAAAGATTCTCTCACTCAGGAGGTCCATGGCACTGTGCTCCAGTATCCAGTGTGAGTCCGAGCCCCAAAGGCTCCAAATTCAGGCTGCTCCAGGCAGAGACAGACGCCCCTATTGGGCAGATCCAGCTGTCTAACCACCAACGAAGCAGAGTTCCTAACCCCTCAAACCACAGTGCTCCAAACTCAGTCACAGGTGAAAAAGTACAAAAGTATAATAACTGCAGAACAATGACATTCTCATGACTAAAGATCCTAAGTTTCTGAATTTTAAATAAACCACTGAAACCTTTCTATGCACAAAGTTTGATATTCAGCTATATCATAGGGTGGGTGATCTGCTGAGTTCATGGGGAAAAATTTGAGTATTTTCACCAAACCTATAGTATATGTAAGGCATGAGATGAACAACTGTCATCACAATTATTCTAAACATATGCATTCAATTCAACAGAACAAAGATGTTTATCCTACATTGTATATTGCTCAGGATGCTGTTTTTCATCATTACTTGACTCTTTGCTCTTGAGGCTATTTTAAAAGTCATGTAGAAAGGCCGGGCGCGGTGGCTCACACCTATAATCCTAGCACTGTGGGAGGCCGAGGCGGGTGGATTGTTTGAGCTCAGGAGTTCGAGACCAGCCTGAGCAAGAGCGAGACCCTGTCTATACTAAAAATACAGAAAGAAATTATCTGGACAACTAAAAATATATAGAAAAAATTAGCCGGGCATGGTGGTGCATGCCTGTAGTCCCAGCTACTCAGGAGGCTCAGGCAGTAGGATCGCTTGAGACCAGGAGTTTGAGGTTGCTGTGAGCTAGGCTAACGCCATGGCACTCACTCTAGCCAGGGCAACAGAGCGAGACTCTGTCTCAAAAAAAAAAGAAAAAAAGTCACGTAGAAGATGCTGAGTAATTTTGTTAGTTGGTAGCACTTAACTGTATTGATGAAAAGCTTTGTTGGGATGGATCACAGTTTAGAGCTGAAAGGGGTTTTTTTTTTTTTTTTTGGAGACAGAGTCTTGCTCTGTCACCCAGGCGAGAGTGCCGTGGCATTAGCCTAGCTCACTACAACCTCAGACTCGTAGGCTCAAGCGATCCTCCTGCCTCAGCCTCCTAAGTAGCTGGGAATATGTGTGTGCACCACAACACCCAGCTAATTTTTTAAATTTTTAGCAAGGATGGGGTCTCGCTCTTGCTCAGGCTGGTCTCGAACCCTGAGCTTCAGCCATCCTCCCACCTGGGCCTCCCAGAGTGACAGAATTACAGGCATGAGCCCAGCTCTGAAAGGGTCTTGATAGAGGTAATGTTTCAACTTGAGAATGAGTGGGAAGGAATGAAAGAAGAAATGAGACCCAGAGAAGTTAAACTTACCAAGAGTCCACACATACAGATCTGAATAGTGAAAAAGAATATGGACTAGAGACCAGAATTCTAGTCCAACTGGAACATTAAGCAGCCATGTTACCTCGGAAAGGTCATTTTCCTGTTTGGCATTAGCTGCCTCACCTGTAAAACTAAAAGATTAGACGTGATTCCTTTCAGCTCTGAAATTCTATGTCTAAAATCTCCCTTTTCTTATTCTCAGATGCCACTGCTGTATATTACACATAGGTCCTAACAAAATGAGGTTTAACCATTACTGAAAAATCATAAATTCTCTCCTTGTACCAAGAATAAGAAGTTCATAGATACAATTCAGCAATAATTATCGAAAGCCTTGTAACAGCACTGCAGGCATCTGCATCTTAAGGCAACAATTACAGCTAAAGCCCAAATATGTATTTGCCTACAAAGGGCTTCATGACTGAATTTGTTCTAAAAGGGGGGTGGGAAGGAAACACCTCGATGGCGTACAATAGAGCTGCAGTTCCCAACCCATGGGCCTCAGACCAGTACCGTGGTCTATTAGGGACTGGGCCCCACAAACACTGTCTTCCATGAAACTTAGAAAGGGGATGGAGGGAGGGGGTGCACACACAGCAGGAGATGAGTGGCTTGTGTTAGCAAGCTAAATTTGTATTTACAGCTGCTCCCCATCACTCACATCACTGCCTGAGCTCCACCTCCTACTCCCATCTATCCCTCCACACCCGCCCCATTCCGTGAATCTGGTCCCTGGTGCCAAAATGCTGTGGGACCACTGCTAGAGGATTGGATATATAAACTGTAGTGAAGATGAGATGCTGTATATAGATAACAGCACAAACATATTTAATGAAAAAACAATCCACAAGACTCCGCAGAATGATTTTAGTAATTTCGAAAGTTATGATGCATGGGACAAAGTCTATGAAAGTCTGGCGAATTTAACAGCGATAAGCTATTTCTGAATAGCAAAATGGCAAGAAATTTTTGTTTCGCTGCTTTATTTCTTTTTCCATGGTAAATCTTCTATTTACATAATTTTAAAAGTTTAAGTGAGAATTTCCTTCCCTTCAGCTATTGGCCATGTTTCTTCAAACACTTCTAATGGTAACTACGTTTACCTGGTAACTACGTAGTAGTTATCCACACTGCAATAAAGGAGCTGCAACGATAGCTTCTAAGTATGAATAGACATTCATGTTCCCTAACAAAATAAACATCAGTACAACCCCAAACAAGAGACAGTATAAGAACAAAATGCCTAAACATTGTAAGGGGTTATTTCTTGTCACACATGACAAATCCTCCAGCGTAAAGTCTGTCCTGGACTGTTTTATCTCAGCAAGCCTGGAAGATGTAAGTGAGCCTCTGTTGCTCCAAGGAATGAAAGGTGCATTTGCTAGCACTGCTATTTTTAATGAAAAAAACTAATGAAATAAGATTTAAACCTTTATTTTTTATTAATTTCATTATTTTAATAAGTTGCGAGTTCAAGACTTAAGCCTAAAACAATCATATGTATTACCTCTGCGTGCTATTAACCTTTGATTTATCTTAGCCACAAGGTGGCAGGAATTTCCATGTTAAATTCTGTCTTACAGACATAGTCATATTTGAGGAATCCTCTTAAAAGTGTCATTCATAGAGTTTTAAGTAATAGAGGCTGCTACAAACATTTTAAAACTAGTTCCCTAGCTCCTCAGCAAATAACAGGGTATTAGCAGCAATAAAACATATTAGAAAATGAATAGCTAACTTTTAAGCTCTATTTTAATACGTGTTTTGGAGGCAATAACTTAGTTCCTCTCAATAGCCTCATGAGCTAAAGACTCTAATCATTCCCATATTAGAGATGGGGATGAACCATCACAGATTAGCTTGACCAAAGTCACAGCTAGAAAAGTGGTGACACACAGAGTCCATTCCCTGCACACTGACTCCAGAATTCAACTCCAAACCTCCAAGCTCTACTCACACCTTCACATGCACATCCCAGTCACATAGCTTTCCAAGTGGCAGGTGCTCAGAAGAGAAAATTGAGACTATCCATGCAGTCCTCATGACCTAAAGATTGAGCTTTGGGTTGCCTAACAAGGAAGGTATGGAGAAATGACACCAGGGTGGTTTAGGAAGCAGGCTGTCAGGCCAGAGCCCACAGAGCAGGCTTTCAGGGTTCTCTGGAACAAGTGCTGGAAGACACTTCAAGCTGCTTAGAAGCAGCCCAGAACCAGCAGGTTAAACACAAGTTACTATTTATTGAGTGCCTATGTGCCAGGCCTGTTGATAAGACTGTTTTCTATAAATATTTTGAGAACATACATGTGCATGAATACATTTCTTTTATTTTTTGCAGAGATGGGGGCTCGCTGTGTTGCCCAGGCTGGACTTAAACTCCTGGGCTCAAGTGATCCTCCTGCCTCAGCCTCCCGAGTAGCTGGGACTACAGGCACGCGCCACCATGCCCATACATTTCTTTTATTTTTTGCAGAGATGGGGGCTCGCTGTGTTGCCCAGGCTGGTCTCAAACTCCTGGGCTCAAGCGATCCTCCTGCCTCAGCCTCCCGAGTAGCTGGGACTACAGGCACGCGCCACCATGCCCGGCTAATTTTTTCTATATATTTTTAGTTGTCCAATTAATTTCTTTCTATTTTTAGTAGAGATGGGGTCTCGCTCTTGCTCAGGCTGGTCTCGAACTCCTGAGCTCAAACAATCCGCCCGCCTCGGCCTCCCAGAGAGCTAGGATTACAGGCGTGAGCCACTGCACCCGGCCCCAAATTGTTTCTTTTTAATCCTCATTTTGTAGTCGAGAAAACTGAAGCTCAGAGCCCACACTTTCCTCAATACACCCAATGCCTCTCAAAATTCTCCTCACAGAATGAGCAGCACTCCATATCCCTTTTTTTTAAAATAGCTTATTATGGCTGGGCATGGTAGCTCATGCCTGTAATCCCAGCACTGTGGGAGGTCAAGATGGGAGGATCACTTGAGGCCAGGAGTTCAAGACCAGCCTGGGCAGCAACCAGCATAGAGAGACCCCGTCTCTCCTAATAATAGAAAAATTAGCCAGGCTTGGTGGTGTCTGTAGTCCCAGCTACTCGGGAGGCTGAAGCAAGAGGATTGCTTGAGCCCAGGAGTTTGAGGTTGCAGTTAGCTGATGACAGCACTGCACTCTAAAAGGGGCAACAGAGCAAGACTCTGTCTTAGGGAAGAAAAAAAAAAAAATAGTGTATTAGGAAACTCTAATAGACAACAATTTTCGTAACATTGTATAATAGAGTTTTCCATTTTTTTTTTTTAGATCTATTAACTTTCTCTAAATACCCAATTGCTTTCTAATTCTCTTCAATCTTTAGAATTCTTGGGGAGGGAGTGAGAACACTATTCTTATAAGGAAACTTGACGTAGACAGGAACTATGAATAAAATTGCGTGGTCCCTCTCCAAATACTCTCATCACTGGAAGGCTTGTCCTTGAGGACAGAGACTTTGCCTTTATTCATTGGCAACTTTTGGTCAAGTTAGTATTCAATAAATGTTAACTTATTAAATATTAGATGAAGGGCAATGATGGCTACTTTCCTAATTGAAATGACTAAATTACACAATTCTTAACAGCCTTTTCCTGCCCTCCCTGGCATCAATAGCAGCCCGCCAATCTCCAACAACCACCATAAAGAATTTTGAGAACGTCAATGTCTCCACATTCAGCTTGCTGTCATGTTAGTATTATTTTCAGCAATAATTCTGCCTTGACTACCTGGTCTATGTTTCTTGTGCTTATACTCTTAACGCTTCAATTTTTTTTTAGGGGCAGGGGGGCTAAATGCTGATGAACTCATCCTACACCAAAGATCATCTTATGTCTCTTCAAAGCTATATAGATTATGTCTCCAATATATGCTCTCCCGTTTGACTAAGCTGTCAAATTAAGCATTTTTTTTCCCTTTAGCTAGATAGTCACATCCAAGTTTTCAAATAAGGAAACTAGAACAGACCTCTGACAGTCTCTAAATATCCTCAGGTTTATCATATCATCCCACATTTTCTAATCAACAATAAAACACAGAAGGCCAGGGAAGCCTCCCTCTGCTTTTTCACTGTCCTCACTTTTATCCCCCAATCTACTGCAGGTATAAAGGGATCAATTTTCCTCTTCTTCTTACATGATATGATTGAAGAACAAAATTTGTAAAAATCAATTTGTGTTACAACTCATACCACAATTTCTAAAATGTCCAAGACCTCATATAAACAGTGCTAAAATTTGTTAAATGAACAAAGGATGCAAACAGAAGGAAAAATAGAATATGTTTAAACATATTAAAACCCCTTGAGTCTCACTTAGGAGAAAAATGAAAATTAACACGAGATACCACTTTCACCTACTAGATCGGCAAAGTTTGATAAAGCCCTGTGTTGGGGAGTGTATGGAGAAACAGACTTTCATACAATGCTGAAGAGAATTTAAACTAGTCCAAGCGCTATAAAGGATAAAATTACAAATGCAATTCTACTTCTCAAAATGTATCCTATAGATATCTTCACACACATGCACAGTAACACATGCAAAAAGATTCGATAGAGCATTGGTCATAACTGCAAGAGACTAGAAACCTAAATATCCAAATGAGGATAAATCATTCTATAGCCATATAATCAAATACTATGCAACTATAAAAAATATATTTATATGTACAAGACACTCAAATATTATGGTATCACTTGTGTAAAAGGAGGAAAAATACACACGTATCTGTCTTCTATGTGGTTCTCTCACACAAGGGATGAGGTTGGGGAAATAATACTGGGAGGAAGATTTCCACTATGTGACCTTTAAAATTTTAAACCATGTGAATATTACCAGTTTAAAAAATAAAGTTCCATTTGTGTTATACAAATTGCCATGTTCTTCCCAGTCTTATCTTTCCTTTCACAGTCCTACTCTGAGTGGGTACTGTTTTGGTAACCTAGCTCACTTCCTGCTCTTGCAGCTTGTTTCATCTTTCTCCTTTAGTGCTCAGGGTCAGCCAGCGTGGTCTTCCCTTTCAGCTTTCCCACACGGAGGACAGGCGTCTGTTCCTCCCTGTACTGTATCTGGAGATGGTTAAGACTTTTGTAGTCCGCTGACAGCGCTGTGCTGCTGGGCACTTGGTGTACCATTCCTCCGCGTTCATGTTCTGAACAGATCTGTCAAAAGCAGTATTCATGGGACCCCCATTTTCTTTCTTGTGCTCATTAAGTTTATTAGATAATTAAAAGCCTATAGAATTATCTTTTCCTAGGGCAGATCATCTGATCTGTAAAATATTGCCTGTCAATTGCATTGGAATATATTTTTTTCATAAATCTAATAGCGAATTACATTGGTCCAATGTCCACACATTCCCAATGACAATTGCAATCAGAGAAATCAGTGAACAAGATGATTTAACTAACACTGTTGTTAATTTAACACACGAGCAACTTACCAGCTTTGGATAAAATAGCAGTAATATGTGTATCGTACCAATAAAGGGGAGAGGGAGACTTTTTGTAATTTGGCAACGATACCTAGGCCCGGAGCTTTTTGTAAAGAGGGTGTAATTCAGCTTCATACTAGATCACTCAATTATTGGCATTAAAGATATACTTGAAAATGTAATAAAAACTTTAACCAATGCAGATTCTTGCTAGACAAACTTTCAAAAAACAACAACAAGGGGACCATTGCAGGGTCAAATTTTGCAAAGTAAAGTTTCTTTCCTGCTACCCACCACCTCTTCTCCAATTGTGAAGTCCACAAAATATAATTTACTATATTTAACCTAGTTATTATATATATATATATGTATGTATGTGTGTATAAAAAGTTTTAAACTGCTTACTGTCTAGCTTGGTCCTTACTGGAATAGGTTACATTTACGACTGCAGTTTCCGAGTCAGTGTTCACTAGAGGAAGAAAAAAACGAAGAGAAGAAAAGTTAGTTTTCTTTCTACTTCCTTCCTTTTACAAAATTGAAAGCAATTCAGAAGACATGTACCTTGCTCACAGCTTTCTACCACTCCATACTGGACTAGTAAACCATCCAGCACCTATCAGGAGGGGGAGAGAAAATTATAAATTTTGAGTTTCCCAAGTTATTAGCAAGGTCAGGAATGAATATGACTTAAAGTCACTAATAACTGTGATAGAAGAGAGTTAAAAAATGAATTGGGACTTTGGACTGTGGAACTATGGGGATGGACAAACGGCTCGCTCGGTGGGCTTCTCTCCTGCCCATTCCTAGATTGCTGGTGTTAATCTCCTTTCCTATGGCCAACCAAGAAGAAATAGTGGCTCAGCAAAGGGTTCAAAGCCACAGCCACCTGGCTCCTGGGACGGAAGGAGAAGGAGCATATATTTCTCACACATACATGAACGCATCATCATACTTCCTCCTTGTATACAAAGTCACAAGATAGGTGCCCGAGTTAAGAAACTAACGTTTTATCTGTAAGATGTTCCTTTACAAAGGACTTCCTTTTACAGCTCTAGTGGGTATAAGAGAACAGACTGCTCTCAAGGCAGGCAGCAAGATGAAGGAAGCACAGTTGATATTCTACCTGGAGTCTTGAATTAAAGACCAACATAAGTAGTTATAAACATGTAGATAGAAAAGGTGTAAAATGAAGTGAACATCTCTAAATCTATACTGGGTTGTAAAATTTGAAGCTGTTTGTACCACATTTCCTGTAGCTGTATTATTATATTGTGCATGTCATTCTAATGGTGAGGCTGTTAAAACAGTAACTATAAATTTATTATAATATCTACTGCAGATGTACATCTCATCAATGTAAACCAAATTCAGGTGTCCTACGTTTCCAAGAGCTGTAACAAATTTGTCTTGAAAAGTAAAAGAATATGTTCCTGTTAGAATCTAACTGCAACAAGAAAAATAAATAAATTTCTATAAATTACAGTGAACCACTTACTCACCAATTTAATTGCAAGTTTTTTTACTACTTTTTTTTTTTTTTAAATATAGACACAGGGTCTCACTCTCTTTCAGGTTGTTCTCCAACTCCTGGCTTCAAGAGATCCTCTGGCCTCGGCCTCCCAGACTGCTAGGATTATAGATGTGAGCCCGGTCTCTAATTGCAAATTTTAAAGGGCAGTCCTTTGAAAATGTTTTCTGGCCCCAGGACACAACAAACCATTAAGAAACATGGTAAATTTTTATGGTGATTTCCTACAAAACTTTTAAGCAATTTTGTCTGAAGCAATGCTTATTGTATGTGGTATCTTTTAGGCTTTCGTCTACTGGTTCCAATTTGAAATCCATATAAAGGTTTGTCTGGGGATGAGCTTTTTGTTTTTTCTTTTAAATAAGGTTAATCCCAAATTGTGAATGGAATGCCCTTTCATAGTTAAGTTTTGACTTGCTGAATTTCCTTTGAGTGGTCTATACCAGTAGAAGCACATTAATCTTTGTCTCTAATTAGTTCCTGTTAAGTCATAAAGCTGAAATTTAAAAAATTGTTGTTCTGAGCACTTAACTGCTACCACATAAAATTCCATTCGTCAGTCTCAGCCACTAGTACGTATGTGTGCTTCATGAGAACAGTTATGTTTTGTTTACTGCTCTCTATCCCCAGCACTAGAATCTGCAGGTATGAAAAGACATTCAAATATTTCATAAGTGAAGTGAATACTTCACAGGAGGAAATCCTGGTGTAGATTATTAGGAACAGTACTCTTAGTAAAAGTGCTCATCTGCTTTACAGGTAAATATGCCATGTAATGTTGATCACAGACACATTTTATAAAGGCCAAAAAATAGAAAACCTCTCATAATGCCATCCAAGGAGAAAACATACAATAGGCAGTTTCTTAAAATGGGAAGAAAAGGCAACCTACTTATATCTTTTACATAAAACTGAAAAGTTTTTAATACCAAAATGTTTTAATTCATACATAAGTTAGAATTCTAACAAGGTATTTTAATTTACTCCATCTTAAGCAATTAAGGAAGCAGGAAGGGTACATCCACCATTTTAAAATTTAGCTTTTAAATGAAAGCCACACTAATAGTAGAGCTTTATAGCAACTTGAATATGTTGAGAGGCAGGGTAGGAGGGGTGCAGGGAATAGGGAGAGGACCATTGCCAATTTAGTATATTTAAATAATATCATTCTTAATTTTCCCTAAAAGCAATTTGTTCAGTAATTAAATACATTAGTCTCCAGAGTTTAGCTTATACCGCCTTAACTTTCATTACTCTTAGAGACAATACTACAAAAGTTATAACTTGATCTATAAACAATGTTGACTAAACCTACAATAACACTGATAAAACTAATGTTCTCCAAAAGCTCCCCTGAGAAAGTGATACAGAAATTATATTCTTAGACATATGCACACATAAATAAGTAAACTTTAACTTTAAAAAAATCGATTTATCTACCAGTGGAATGTTTAAAGAAAAAATATTTCTAAAAATTGAGGAACTATACATCAAAATTTTCATTGCATATATCATATAGAGTTTACTATCTTAAAACAAGAATTGTGTATAAACATTCTATTTCTGAGAATAAATAAATGGTAACAGCTGCCAACTATCCTTTGTGCAAAATCTCTAGAAAAACAACTGGAAACCACAATCCTGTGCACTAAAAATGGTGAACTTTATTGTATGTAAACCTTACTTCAATAAACCTGACTCTAAAACCAAAAACACTATAATCCTTAAAAGAAATAGGCCCAGTATCAATCTTCGTACCCAGCTGTTAACAAATTAACACAACCCACAGGATTTTACCTAGACACTGTGGATGTATTTCATTCAATCTTTGTTGTCTTACTCAAAGTTCTATGCACAAGTTTTGGAGGTAGTAACAGAGAATGGGGAGAGAACTGTCAATAGCCTAAAACAATCCCTAAATCTTAAAAGGGTTTCCAACTGCCAAATGATGAACCAGTGCTATAGTATCCAGTTTCCCATCAATTTACTAAGCAGGCATTATCTGAATATTCTCTTTTATGTCAAGCAGGGCTACCAAATTGTACCACACCATGCCAGCCCACTGAACTCTCAGAGAGTAAACAACTTACTCTGGATGGGTTGTGACTTTTTGTCTAATCCTGTATTAAACAAGAAGACAGGACAATGTTCCTGTTACCTGTCACAAATTACCTGACCTGGGTTCTTCTCTCACCCTCAGTTCCTAGAACATTTGTATTTTCTTTTTTTTTCCTTTTCTTTTCTTTTTTTGAGACAGGGTCTCACTCTGTTGTGAGACTGGGCTAGAGTACAGTGGCATCATCATAGCTCACTGCAGCCTCCAACTCCTGGGTTCAAGTGATCCTCTTGCCTCAGCCTCCCGAGTAGCTGGGACTATAGCCGTGCATCATCAACTCTCTGTTGCCCACACTGGTCTTCGAACTCCTGGGCTCCAGTGATCCTCCCACCTCAGCCTACCAAAGTACTAGCATTACAGGCATGAGTCACTGCACCCAGCCGAACATCTGTATTTTCTAATTCTCCTATCAATGTCAGCCAAAATGTTTGTTTTTAAGTTTTAAAGGCAAAAAATCCCCCCAAACAAACAAAAAAACAACCTTCCACTGTACATTTCCAACACTTTCACAAATCTCTAAGAAACCAAACTTCCCATAACTAAATGAATTTATTTTACTCAAGCTGGAAAGGAAACATTTGTCTACGCTTAAGTAAGTTTTTAATTCCAACTGGCGGAGAGAAAGGGTACTGATGCAAATTAAAGCCTCTCTGAGGCTTTAGAATCCCCCCTTTTATGTATTGAGGACTTGAAACCCTCAAAAGTTCAGGGTTTTTTTTTAAAGTGTTCATCTAAATATAGAAATAGCATGGAAACAATCACATGATAAATGCAAATATCACTTTCCCAAACATAGTGGTAAAGAATTAAGATCATACTGGCCAAAGGCAGAAACCACCCAAATGCCCATCAACTGACGAATGTAAGAGATAAACAAAACGTGGTATATCCGTACAATGGAATATCATTCAACCATAAAAAGGGAAGTACTACTTATACACACTACAACCTAGATGAACCTTGAAAATGTTATGCTAAGGGAAAGGAGACAGCCACAGAAGATTCGTGTGAAATGTTCATAATAGGGAACTCTGTCAAGATAGAAAGTAGATTAGTGGTTGCTCAGGGCTGGTGAGAATGGAAGGTGGAGGGCAACAGCTACAGGCTTCTTTGTGAGGTGATGAAAATGTTCTAAAACTGTGGTGGTGGTTGCACGTATCTCTTTACATACTAAAAACTCCTGAATTGTATACTTTAAATAGGGAATTTTATGGTATGTGAATTATATAGCAATTAAAGTGTTAAAAAAAATCAGATCAACAATATTATCAGGAAATGGCCTAATTTTTTTTTTTAATTTGAAGTAGCAGAAAAACTATTTTTGTGCTTCCAGTGTTGTCAGATTTCCCCTGCATGAGCCTTAACACCCACAAAACAGCTACATTTCCGTGGCTACCACTGCAGGCATGAAGTATGTAATTTATGCTCTGCAGACACACCACTAAGGTCCCATCACCTTTGAACTATCTGAAACAAGAGTAGGAGCGGCACGCTTGCCTCCAGCCCAACACCCCATGACTATCCTCTTGACAGAAGTTACTACCCTTCAGTGATTTCAAATTGCTATAGATGTTGTCCAGACTTCAACATGGTGTAGGAGGTTGTCTACCTGTTCCATACACTTCCCTACGACTACGCTCTATCACACCCCTCAAGGCTGGGTTAAGTACCTCTCTCCCCCAGCTTCCACAACACCTGTTCCTGGAAATGAAAGCAATGTCATTTTATCATCTCTTTCCTGATCTTTATTCTCCCACTAGACTAGTGATTACTAACTATAGTGATGTGATTGTCAGGTGTGTCACAAGTAATCTACTTTTCATAGTTAACCCTGGCTTCCATGTTTAAGCTGGCAGGTAATTTTTCACATACCATCTTAGGTTCCAAGTCTTCTCTATTTGCCTTTGTTACAATTGCCTTATGTGTTTAAGAAGATGATGGAACAACGGTGGACATCACAGTCTGTGCA